GCCCCTATATACCGCCTCCTCATGCTGCTGCCAAGTCCAGAGTCTCTCATGGGTCCCTGTACAGCCTCCCATTGCTGCTGTCTCCATCGCCACACTCTGCCATGTGCCACTTTCAGGTCTCCTCACACACTGCTGGTGTGTTGAATTTTTTGACATAGGGTGCTGGCAGATTACGGGCCTCCCATAGCTGCTGCCAGGCCCCTAATCTGCCATGGGCCCCTATATACCGCCTCCTCATGCTGCTGCCAAGTCCAGAGTCTCTCATGGGTCCCTGTACGGCCTCCCATTGCTGCTGTCTCCATCGCCACACTCTGCCATGTGCCACTTTCAGGTCTCCTCACACACTGCTGGTGTGTTGAATTTTTTGACATAGGGTGCTGGCAGATTACGGGCCTCCCATAGCTGCTGCCAGGCCCCTAATCTGCCATGGGCCCCTATATACCGCCTCCTCATGCTGCTGCCAGTCCAGAGTCTCTCATGGGTCCCTGTACGGCCTCCCATTGCTGCTGTCTCCATCGCCACACTCTGCCATGTGCCACTTTCAGGTCTCCTCACACACTGCTGGTGTGTTGAATTTTTTGACATAGGGTGCTGGCAGATTACGGGCCTCCCATAGCTGCTGCCAGGCCCCTAATCTGCCATGGGCCCCTATATACCGCCTCCTCATGCTGCTGCCAGTCCAGAGTCTCTCATGGGTCCCTGTACGGCCTCCCATTGCTGCTGTCTCCATCGCCACACTCTGCCATGTGCCACTTTCAGGTCTCCTCACACACTGCTGTGTGTTGAATTTTTTGACATAGGGTGCTGGCAGATTACGGGCCTCCCATAGCTGCTGCCAGGCCCCTAATCTGCCATGGGCCCCTATATACCGCCTCCTCATGCTGCTGCCAAGTCCAGAGTCTCTCATGGGTCCCTGTACGGCCTCCCATTGCTGCTGTCTCCATCGCCACACTCTGCCATGTGCCACTTTCAGGTCTCCTCACACACTGCTGGTGTGTTGAATTTTTTGACATAGGGTGCTGGCAGATTACGGGCCTCCCATAGCTGCTGCCAGGCCCCTAATCTGCCATGGGCCCCTATATACCGCCTCCTCATGCTGCTGCCAAGTCCAGAGTCTCTCATGGGTCCCTGTACGGCCTCCCATTGCTGCTGTCTCCATCGCCACACTCTGCCATGTGCCACTTTCAGGTCTCCTCACACACTGCTGGTGTGTTGAATTTTTTGACATAGGGTGCTGGCAGATTACGGGCCTCCCATAGCTGCTGCCAGGCCCCTAATCTGCCATGGGCCCCTATATACCGCCTCCTCATGCTGCTGCCAGTCCAGAGTCTCTCATGGGTCCCTGTACGGCCTCCCATTGCTGCTGTCTCCATCGCCACACTCTGCCATGTGCCACTTTCAGGTCTCCTCACACACTGCTGTTGTGTTGAATTTTTTGACATAGGGTGCTGGCAGATTACGGGCCTCCCATAGCTGCTGCCAGGCCCCTAATCTGCCATGGGCCCCTATATACCGCCCTCCTCATGCTGCTGCCAGTCCAGAGTCTCTCATGGGTCCCTGTACGGCCTCCCATTGCTGCTGTCTCCATCGCCACACTCTGCCATGTGCCACTTTCAGGTCTCCTCACACACACTGCTGGTGTGTTCAATTTTTTGACATAGGGTGCTGGCAGATTACGGGCCTCCCATGCTGCTGCCAGGCCCCTAATCTGCCATGGGCCCCCGTACCGACTCATGCTGTGACGTTGCAACAAGGTGGAATTCAACCCTACATATGTTAGACCGCCTTTACGAACAGCGAAAGGCCATCACAGATTTCCTGATGTTAAAAGCGGATAAAGGTACTCCCTGTGTAACTTAGATGTCAGCCATTGGCAGCTCATGCGTGACACCTGCCGCTTGCTCAGGCCCTTTGAGGAGGCCACGCTATTCGTGAGTCGGCAGGACTATGGGATGAACGACGTCATTCCCCTGTTGCACGTCCTGGAACAAATGCTGTTAACAATGGCTGGTCAGGGTGCGGTAGACGTGGCGCACAGATCTCAACGCCACATGACCCCTGTGGGGGCAGGACAGGAAGAAGAGGAGGAGGTAGAGGAGGACATTGGTGCTCAGGAATTATTGAGTGAAATGGGGTGGTTTTTCCACTCAGCGGACAGGAGTGGAGGAGCAGGAGCATCTGGTAGAGGAGGAGGAGGAGGAGACAGAGGACCCAGACGCACCGTGGCAGTATGCTGTGGAGATGGAGGGCAGGGAGTCCCTCGCATTCCTTGGCACAAATGGCCCATAGCATGCTCGCTTGCTTGCTTGCGTAGCGACAGCCGAATAATAACCATCAGACAGAGGGATGACTTTTGGCTGTCCACCTTGTTGGCCCCTCGCTACCGTTCCAAAATGGTGGCCTTTTTCACACCTGCTGAGAGTGGAGGCCAAAATTACGTACTATAAAAACCACCTATGTAGTCAGTTGGTCTCTGCCTTTGTGCGCCAACGTCCATCCTCAGACACTGCCATGGGCCCCTATATACCGCCTCGCTTCCGCTGCCATGGCAGCAGGGGAGGGGTGGGCCTCCCATTGGAGCAGTGGCAGCTCCACCAGCAGCAGGCTGCCTCAGTCTGCAGTCGATGATGAGTAGCTTTCTTCACCAGCGCAGTGAGGAAACTACTAACCAGCCGCAGCAGCAGCAGCAGCAGCATCAGGTGGACCTGGAGCCCCTCAAACAACAGGCTTGGGCCTACTTGGACAGCACCCTGCCAACCGAGGTAGACAATCCCCCTTGACTACTGGGCAACGAAACTTGACCTTTGGCCCCAACTAGCTGAATTTGCCCTTGAAAGGCTGTCATGCCCGGCCAGTAGCGTGGCATCGGAGCGCGTGAATTTTTTTAGTGCGGCAGGATTAGGTATTGTAACTCCGCGGAGGACACGACTGCCATGGGCCCCAAAGTGTGGAGAGACTCACGTTTGTGAAAATGAATCAGGCGTGGATTAGTCTGGATTTCAAACCACCAGTTCCTGACACAACTGACTAAATCCGCCACAATCATGCCATGTGCCACTTTCAGGTCTCCTCACACACTGCTGGTGTGTTGAATTTTTTGACATAGGGTGCTGGCAGATTACGGGCCTCTATATAGCTGCTGCCAGGCCCCTAATCTGCCATAGGCCCCTATATACCGCCTCCTCATGCTGCTGCCAGGTCCAGAGTCTCTCATGGGTCCCTGTACGGCCTCCCATTGCTGCTGTCTCCATCGCCACACTCTGCCACACTCTGCAATGTGCCACTTTCAGGTCTCCTCACACACTGCTGGTGTGTTGAATTTTTTGACATAGGGTGCTGGCAGATTACGGGCCTCCCATAGCTGCTGCCAGGCCCCTAATCTGCCATGGGCCCCTATATACCGCCTCCTCATGCTGCTGCCAAGTCCAGAGTCTCTCATGGGTCCCTGTACGGCCTCCCATTGCTGCTGTCTCCATCGCCACACTCTGCCATGTGCCACTTTCAGGTCTCCTCACACTGCTGTGTGTTTTGAATTTTTTGACATAGGGTGCTGGCAGATTACGGGCCTCCCATAGCTGCTGCCAGGCCCCTAATCTGCCATGGGCCCCTATATACCGCCTCCCTCCTCATGCTGCTGCCAAGTCCAGAGTCTCTCATGGGTCCCTGTACGGCCTCCCATTGCTGCTGTCTCCATCGCCACACTCTGCCATGTGCCACTTTCAGGTCTCCTCACACACTGCTGGTGTGTTGAATTTTTTGACATAGGGTGCTGGCAGATTACGGGCCTCCCATAGCTGCTGCCAGGCCCCTAATCTGCCATGGGCCCCTATATACCGCCTCCTCATGCTGCTGCCAGTCCAGAGTCTCTCATGGGTCCCTGTACGGCCTCCCATTGCTGCTGTCTCCATCGCCACACTCTGCCATGTGCCACTTTCAGGTCTCCTCACACACTGCTGGTGTGTTGAATTTTTTGACATAGGGTGCTGGCAGATTACGGGCCTCCCATAGCTGCTGCCAGGCCCCTAATCTGCCATGGGCCCCTATATACCGCCTCCTCATGCTGCTGCCAAGTCCAGAGTCTCTCATGGGTCCCTGTACGGCCTCCCATTGCTGCTGTCTCATCGCCACACTCTGCCATGTGCCACTTTCAGGTCTCCTCACACACTGCTGGTGTGTTGAATTTTTTGACATAGGGTGCTGGCAGATTACGGGCCTCCCATAGCTGCTGCCAGGCCCCTAATCTGCCATGGGCCCCTATATACCGCCTCCTCATGCTGCTGCCAAGTCCAGAGTCTCTCATGGGTCCCTGTACGGCCTCCCATTGCTGCTGTCTCCATCGCCACACTCTCTGCCATGTGCCACATTCAGGTCTCTTCACACTGCTGGTGTGTTTTCAATTTTTTGACATAGGGTGCTGGCAGATTACGGGCCCCCATAGCTGCTGCCAGGCCCCTAATCTGCCATGGGCCCCTATATACCGCCTCCTCATGCTGCTGCCAAGTCCAGAGTCTCTCATGGGTCCCTGTACGGCCTCCCCCATTGCTGCTGTCTCCATCGCCACACTCTGCCATGTGCCACTTTCAGGTCTCCTCACACACTGCTGGTGTGTTGAATTTTTTGACATAGGGTGCTGGCAGATTACGGGCCTCTCCATAGCTGCTGCCAGGCCCCTAATCTGCCATGGGCCCCTATATACCGCCTCCTCATGCTGCTGCCAAGTCCAGAGTCTCTCATGGGTCCCTGTACGGCCTCCCATTGCTGCTGTCTCCATCGCCACACTCTGCCATGTGCCACTTTCAGGTCTCCTCACACACTGCTGGTGTGTTGAATTTTTTGACATAGGGTGCTGGCAGATTACGGGCCTCCCATAGCTGCTGCCAGGCCCCTAATCTGCCATGGGCCCCTATATACCGCCTCCTCATGCTGCTGCCAAGTCCAGAGTCTCTCATGGGTCCCTGTACGGCCTCCCATTGCTGCTGTCTCCATCGCCACACTCTGCCATGTGCCACTTTCAGGTCTCCTCACACTGCTTGTGTTTTCAATTTTTTGACATAGGGTGCTGGCAGATTACGGGCCTCCCATAGCTGCTGCCAGGCCCCTAATCTGCCATGGGCCCCTATATACCGCCTCCTCATGCTGCTGCCAAGTCCAGAGTCTCTCATGGGTCCCTGTACGGCCTCCCATTGCTGCTGTCTCCATCGCCACACTCTGCCATGTGCCACTTTCAGGTCTCCTCACACACTGCTGGTGTGTTAAATTTTTTGACATAGGGTGCTGGCAGATTACGGGCCTCCCATAGCTGCTGCCAGGCCCCTAATCTGCCATGGGCCCCTATATACCGCCTCCTCATGCTGCTGCCAAGTCCAGAGTCTCTCATGGGTCCCTGTACGGCCTCCCATTGCTGCTGTCTCCATCGCCACACTCTGCCATGTGCCACTTTCAGGTCTCCTCACACACACTGCTGGTGTGTTGAATTTTTTGACATAGGGTGCTGGCAGATTACGGGCCTCCCATAGCTGCTGCCAGGCCCCTAATCTGCCATGGGCCCCTATATACCGCCTCCTCATGCTGCTGCCAAGTCCAGAGTCTCTCATGGGTCCCTGTACGGCCTCCCATTGCTGCTGTCTCCATCGCCACACTCTGCCATGTGCCACTTTCAGGTCTCCTCACACACTGCTGTGTTTTCAATTTTTTGACATAGGGTGCTGGCAGATTACGGGCCTCCCATAGCTGCTGCCAGGCCCCTAATCTGCCATGGGCCCCTATATACCGCCTCCTCATGCTGCTGCCAAGTCCAGAGTCTCTCATGGGTCCCTGTACGGCCTCCCATTGCTGCTGTCTCCATCGCCACACTCTGCCATGTGCCACTTTCAGGTCTCCTCACACTGCTGTTGTGTTGAATTTTTTGACATAGGGTGCTGGCAGATTACGGGCCTCCCATAGCTGCTGCCAGGCCCCTAATCTGCCATGGGCCCCTATATACCGCCTCCTCATGCTGCTGCCAAGTCCAGAGTCTCTCATGGGTCCCTGTACGGCCTCCCATTGCTGCTGTCTCCATCGCCACACTCTGCCATGTGCCACTTTCAGGGTCTCTTCACACTGCTGTGTGTGTTGAATTTTTTGACATAGGGTGCTGGCAGATTACGGGCCTCCCATAGCTGCTGCCAGGCCCCTAATCTGCCATGGGCCCCTATATACCGCCTCCTCATGCTGCTGCCAAGTCCAGAGTCTCTCATGGGTCCCTGTACGGCCTCCCATTGCTGCTGTCTCCATCGCCACACTCTGCCATGTGCCACTTTCAGGTCTCCTCACACACTGCTGTGTGTTGAATTTTTTGACATAGGGTGCTGGCAGATTACGGGCCTCCCATAGCTGCTGCCAGGCCCCTAATCTGCCATGGGCCCCTATATACCGCCTCCTCATGCTGCTGCCAAGTCCAGAGTCTCTCATGGGTCCCTGTACGGCCTCCCATTGCTGCTGTCTCCATCGCCACACTCTGCCATGTGCCACTTTCAGGTCTCCTCACACACTGCTGGTGTGTTGAATTTTTTGACATAGGGTGCTGGCAGATTACGGGCCTCCCATAGCTGCTGCCAGGCCCCTAATCTGCCATGGGCCCCTATATACCGCCTCCTCATGCTGCTGCCAAGTCCAGAGTCTCTCATGGGTCCCTGTACGGCCTCCCATTGCTGCTGTCTCCATCGCCACACTCTGCCATGTGCCACATTCAGGTCTCTTCACACTGCTGGTGTGTTGAATTTTTTGACATAGGGTGCTGGCAGATTACGGGCCTCCCATAGCTGCTGCCAGGCCCCTAATCTGCCATGGGCCCCTATATACCGCCTCCTCATGCTGCTGCCAAGTCCAAAGTCTCTCATGGGTCCCTGTACGGCCTCCCATTGCTGCTGTCTCCATCGCCACACTCTGCCATGTGCCACTTTCAGGTCTCCTCACACACTGCTGTGTGTTGAATTTTTTGACATAGGGTGCTGGCAGATTACGGGCCTCCCATAGCTGCTGCCAGGCCCCTAATCTGCCATGGGCCCCTATATACCGCCGCCTCCTCATGCTGCTGCCAAGTCCAGAGTCTCTCATGGGTCCCTGTACGGCCTCCCATTGCTGCTGTTTCCATCGCCACACTCTGCCATGTGCCACATTCAGGTCTCTTCACACTGCTGGTGTGTTGAATTTTTTGACATAGGGTGCTGGCAGATTACGGGCCTCCCATAGCTGCTGCCAGGCCCCTAATCTGCCATGGGCCCCTATATACCGCCTCCTCATGCTGCTGCCAAGTCCAGAGTCTCTCATGGGTCCCTGTACGGCCTCCCATTGCTGCTGCCAGGAGGCAGCAGGGTCGCAGCAGTGTCAGTGGAGGCAAACGGCCACGGAGTAGAGCACCAGCTCCACTGCAGCCTACCACCACGGCCAGTAGTGGTGCCGGTGTGCACGGAGGAAGTAGCAGTCAGCCAGTGAGGAGTAGCGGAGGCAAAGTTTCCTACTCTGCGGTGTGGCAATTTTTCGTCAAGCCGCCCGAGGAAGTAAACGTAGCCGTATGTCGACTATGTGGCCAGAAAGTCAAGCGTGGCCAGGGGGCCCATGTTGGGACTACAGCGTTGCGTCAGCATATGCAGCGTCGCCATTCGGTGGCCTGGGAAAACCGTGATAAAGATACGGCGGTTCTGCCTGCCCCAGCCCAGGGTTCCATTTTGTCATAGGGTGCTGGCAGATTACAGGCCTCCCATAGGTGCTGCCAGGCCCCAAATCTGCCATGGGCCCCCGTACCGCCTGGTCACATGCTGCTGCTGGGCCCACAGTGTGACCTGGGTCCCTGTACCGCCTCCCATTGCTCCCACTCTGCCATGTGCCACTTTCAGGTCTCCTCACACTCCTGCTGGTTTCCATTTTGTCATAGGTTGCTGTATGGCCTCCCATTGCTGCTGCCTCCACCGCCACACTGTGGCTCCAAACACTGGTTTTTGGCCCCGTGACTGGCCAAATGAGTGAAGTGTGCGGTGATTCTAAGATCGACGGCACTCATCTGCATGTCATACTGAGTGACAGTATTATTTCTCTTCCCCAGCAGACTCCAAGGGCATTTAAATTAAAGGTACAGTGTTCTGCACTAATATTAAGTCTCTCTGAAGCCTAGAAACACCCTTTTTTAAGTTAAATTCACAGCGAATTTATTCGACTCGAATCGAATATTGTACACGAATTCGCCGAATCAGTCGAATCGAATTTTTCATTTCTTCGCTCATCTCTAATTATATTATTGAATTAAATTTAATATATTATTATTTTTTATGATTATTATAATTTATGATTTTGTGTTTCAAGTTTTATCATACCCGGGATGTTTACTAGACTCTTGTTCAGACAGATTTCAGTGAGTTATTCCTAAGAATTACAGGCCTACAATAAAAAAACAACATATTTCCATGCAAAACAATTTACTGCTTTGAGCACAGAAATAGTGACATAATCAGACCGCTAGGGAGGTTAATCACTTATGGGTTTTTTAGTTTAAGCTAAACAAACTAAAAAAGACTGAAAATGAAAAAAAAAAAAGTTTTGTTTCTTTCTGTTATAAAATTTTGTAAATAAGTAATTGTTTTCCTTTACTGATGTGCACTAATGAGGCTGCAGTGATGGGCACTGATAGGCAGCACTGGTGGGCATTGAAAGGAAGCAACCATCTATAGCACTGATGGGCACTGATAGGCGACACTGACTGGAACTGATAGCAGTGTCCATCAGAGCTGCCTTTCAGTGCCATGTGGCATTGATGGGCACTGAAAGGCAGCACTGATGGGGCTACACTCATAATCAGGACACTGATGATCAGTGTAGATGTCCTTCTGAGGAATGCCACTTACCCGCTCTCCTCTCGCCATGTGCTGTCAGCGTGAGGAGAGAACTGCAGATAACCGACATTTCCTATTTACATGCAATCAGCTGTGATTGGACACAGCTGATCACATGATAGAGCCTGTGTCATCGGCTCTTTACTGCAATTGGTGATCCGCTGTGTCACAGGGATCCTCCACATTATATAAAAAGAATGTTTGATCCTCTCTTTTCTGATCCTCCCCTTCTAATGTCTCCCAAAAATCTCCTGATAGAACAGAGGCTAGGGACAAGCTGAACATGTTCAGTTTGGTGTGTATTGCTAGAGAGTTTTTTTTTTTCTTGGGAGAGTGCATATGATCAGCACAGGGCCAATCAGCACTCTCAAGACAGAGGTCAGAGGTCCTGCATCCTGATACAGGAGAATGAAAAATCCTACAAGTTGTAACTGGTGCTCTGCTCTGCTGGAAACTGATAGAAGTCACAAGACTGTTCTAACTGCTGATGAGAAAAGGTATTTAGCAGTTTATATTTACTAAAATAATTGCATTTCCATGTTCTGTGTACTGTGGGAGACCAGATCTAGTGAATGCAGGGTCCTGGGTTTAGTAACACTTTAAGTGCTCCTAGCTGACCTACTTCCGAAGTGGTGATTTCTTAAACTGGTCTTCATGCCATAGTTAGGATCCACTTTAAATAAACAATCAGTGTGATCAAATTTCATAGAAATCCAGGCTAGGTTCATACACTATGAGCGTCAGATTGATCCTGAGGAGCCTGAGGTCTGCGAGACCAGAGATGAGAGCAATTGTGCTGCTGAAGCATGAGCCAGGTGCCTTAGCACCTTCAGCTGTTTTACTGGGTGAAGCTGATACCCCCGTGTGGGCAACTGTGTTTGTGAAGCTTTAATTTAGTTGTTTTAGTAAAAGTGGGCTGGAAAGCTCTTAAAGATCATGTAAACCCAACAGTTCATATTCCTGATATGTGCCTCCTGTAACGTGTATGATAAATATCCTGTTCTCTTTGTATTGCTTCCTTTGTGTGAAATTCCTTTTGTTCCTGTCAGTCCTGCTTTCCTACTAAAAACTAATCACATAAGGCACGAGAGCACACAGTGGTCAGTTATGTTGGGAATTTCATGTGCTCTCTTCCAATGATCAGATTATCAGACTTGACCTGACCCCTCCACCCCCTGCACAGTCTTTCACTGGGAAGATTAGTGTACTGCTGTTTCTTCCCCCACCCCAGCTCTTATACAGCTGAGAACACAGGGTATTTTATCACTTATAAAAAAGGAAAAAAAGGTATTTATATATGAGTGTGTGTATGTATATGTATGTATATATATCTATATCTATATATATATATACACACAAACAAATATATTGTTTTTCATTAATATTTTAGACTGAGTGGGTTGTTTTACAAGGTGAGGGTTTACAAATACTTTAACCGCAGTTCAGATTTGCATGACCCACTGGAATACCGTGGGGCTGAAAATCCTATATATATATATATATATATATATATATATATATATATATATATATATGACACACACACTTCTACAACCTTGCCTTATATCATATGTTCAACTCACAGTAGTAAACTTGCATGTTTCTAAAATGGCTGAGAGACTCTGCTGTCCTCCTTGGTAACCGTGCGTTTCCCGCAGTGGGCTCTGGAGATTCTGACTCTCGGATGTTCAGTATCCATAGCAGGTGAAAATCACCTGGGAGCTTCTTTTGACATATTTCTTTCTGTATAGAAAAAGACACATGGGAAAGGTTCTTGGTAACATTAGCTTTTGTACCTTCACTTCACAGCAACCTGTATACCACCTAGGATCTGTTAGTGGGAAGCAACATTGTGTGCATTGGCCTTGGTAAGTCTAAAATGGATCCCTGTGTCTGTTTTATGTTTTTTTTTTAGGAAGCTGTAAGTCAGTGTTGCTGTTTTTTTTTTCTTTGTAACAATTGATAAATCTGTTATCAGTTTTGTGTTAATATTGCTGTCATAGGTAAATGCATTGTATATTGCAGCTAAATGAACCTTTTAAGTTGTTAAGACATGATATTTTTTTAGGAGTATTTATTACAAATAGTATATATTTTTAATTTTTGCAGTGATAACCTATTGTGTTGTATTAAGGTGGCCCATTCATATGAGTTAGTTTTCTAATGCAGAAAAAAGGTGTATGCACTATTTTTTAGCAACACAGTGCATCACAATGCATTATCATACATTGTGGTGTGCTGCAATGAACACGCAAATTTCTATAACGTGCACTTCTGTAAGACATTGGTATAAATCTAGCCTAAAAGCTAAACTGTTGGCAATATGAGAGCTCCTGTTGTCAACTTGTTTTTGAAGGCTCAAGTACTGAGACTATCGTCCTGAAAAGAAAATGATAAATAGTGAAATTCACACAGGTCAGTGCCAACATCCCTAACAAAAAAACAATTAAATTACTGTGGGACTGTTTAGGCAGGATACAGTATGTTACAATGTTGTCATAAAATAATTTCTCTTTATTTATACTGATTAAAACACATAAAAAGGTATAATGGCTGCTACATAAAAAATGATGCTACGTTCCACATAAATACCAATATATACCCAACTGAGGAAAGCAATTATATCATCAGAATATGTAGCTTTATACAGTAAATCCTCAATACTGGTAAACATCCAATGTGTTTTAATTTTGCTGTTCTTCAGGTGTTGGTGGGTAGATCATATAATATATATTATAAACTATGCAAAAGGATAGGCTGAATAGTAAATAACAAAGTTCAATAGGTCCCCTCATTTTCCACAGCCAGCTGGCTAAAGAGACCCATCCAGCAGGAGAGGCACACAAAACTACACTGACCTAACATCATTGCTGTGAAGATGGTTACATTGATAGATATCTAGTACAAGCTGGGGATATCTTGCTCCTTTGGACTCAGTGCTGTGATGATCAGGGCAAGGGCCTCTTCCCCACAACCCTAGCTCTGGCCTGGTGGTTGTGAGAGTGCGGGGGGTGACTTATCGGAATCTAAAGAGCCCCTAGATTCCCCCCATGTGAATGAGTATGGGGTACGTAGTTCTCCTACTCATTCACCAAAAAAATTACAAGTGTAAATGAAAACACATAGTTTTTGACAAGTCCTTTTTTAAAAAAAAAAAAATTAAAAATGTCTCCCGGTGTACATCCACCGTCAATCACGATGAACGCTGTTAGTTCATACGATCGTTCCGTCGCTTGGCTCCCTCCAACTGACACACCTCTTTCCCCCACCACTACAATAAATGAAGGAGTGGGGTCACCCAGTGACATCATTAACCATACATGGCCATTGCTATGTATGGTCAATGATGTCATAAGGGGTGGGGTTACCCTATGACATAATTCGGCGACCGCAATGCTCTTATGATTTCATTGACCAAATATGGATGTGTTCATGTACGGTCAATGATGTCACTGGATAACCCTGTCCCTTATTTATTTTAGCAGTGGGTGAAGGTGGGAGCAAAGCGACTTTTTTTGTGGGATGCGTCCATTGTGATTGATGATGGATGTACATCTGGGGACATTTTCAATTTATTTAAAATAAAGGTTTCAGTGTGTTTATTTCTAGGGTACATTGTATTCATTTTTTTGGTGAATTAGTAAGGGTAATATGTACCCCTTACTCAGTAACATTGGGGAGGGGGGCAGGATAAGGGGGAAAAGTGCTCGCACATGTTGAGGACATGTGGCCTGGTGTAGTTCAGGAGCCTACCTATCAGGTACATGGTAGCAGAGCCTGATATGATGAAGGCCTCTCTGACACCTCTGATTTAAGGCTCCTGGTAGAGTAGACAGAAGGCCCAGGAGTGCAGAGTGGCACATGCGCCTATAAGTCTTGCTAGCAGCAGAGCCGGTGTCCACACTGGGCAGTCATCAGGGGTCTTCAGTAAGGCAGGCAGCTGGGCAGCAGACTGGTACTGGTGACAGCAGGCAGATGAGACAGTGGCACAGTGGCTGTAGCAGAATGTAGATTGGCAGGAACAGAAGAGTGGTAGGCAAGTACCAGTGGCAGCAGGCAAGTAGCAGAGTCACCTCTAACCATGAACACCTGCGATAAAACCAGTTCCCCACATTACAGCAGCTGTATTTCACACAACCATGTGCTTATATCATCAATATTACTGAGTAAAATAAGTAGCAGAGTCATA